ACACCAGTGGCTGGTCCGATACCGGGGCCAGCATCTCAATGGACAGGACAGACACGTCAGCATCCCGGTGGAAAAAACAACGATCGACGCGCCCTGCGGGCCCTGGAGGAAGAGAGATAGGCGGCGGTCGTAAACATGTCACGTGACAGAACAAAACCAGCAACAACAGCAAGAGCGCTGTTTTTGTTGCTGTTGTTGGATGCCGACCGCCTGACTTGACCGTGGCGTCTCGTCCGGTGTGGTGGGTGCGGGGGCCGCGCGGGCAGGCAGGGGGGCTCTCCCCGGGGGGTTGGCGGCGGGGGCACCTGGGCACCAACCTGCGGTAAACACAAACATTTCAATCGGAGGCTATTGGGCGGCATCATAGCAAAGCCATAGAGCAGAGAGGGACGAACAGCGGGACGAAACGGAGGCATAATGGGGAGGGCTGCTGGGAAAGCGACGCGGAGCCGGGCGGTCCAATGAGCGGAATTATTTGGTGATAAACTCTCGACCCGCGCGTCCAGCAGCGATGACAATGACAGGGAGGCGACAGGCACCGGCCGGTGTTTTCTCATACATACCTCGAAATATTAGAAGAAATGGTGGAAAAGCCCACACCAGCATTCCACGACGCCAAAGCGCCCCGGACACGGCATGCTGCTTCGCTATGCCACAAAGCTTCCTCGGCATGGGAGCCAAGCCACCACACAGCGGACGACGGCAGCAGGCAGCGGCGGGAAGCGGATCCGTTTCCTCTAAAAACACGAGAGTCAGGAGTCGAGCTGCTGTCCAGCCGTTTAGCCGCGTTAGCGCCTCCGGGCTGCGCGGCGGCCGCGTCCGGGGAACGCGAGAGTCTGGCGGCCGGTCGCGCCAAGCGAGGCGGAGCGGGAAAGGGCCGCCGCCGTTTCAAACGCCCCCGCGCGAGGGCGCACGTGTCCCGCCTGTTTGTCCAGCAGCGGGCCGAGACGGCCAGACGGGAGAGGGGAAAGAGAGCGAGGAGTTGGACGCTTTTTCGATAATTACTTTGAAGGACTCTTGGAGTTCGTAGGTATATATCTCGCCCATGGCCAAGGCCGTGGTGTGCGCTTGAGAAGGTCCGGCGATGGACGCCTTCACCCCACCCCCATACACATTTCTCCCTCTCACGCCCCCTGCGCACGCTAGTGGGTGAACCGCGAGCAATCCCAGCGTTATTTAATCGGACATCTCGGTCGAACGTTCGAGAAGCGGATATCCTGCCGTCCCCCTCTTTACTTTATTGTGGTCTCCTGCTTTTTGAATTAATTCTCGCTGAAACACATCGGGGGTATAAGACACAATAGTCAGCCGTCGTCATCACCATCGTGTGTGTGTTCGTGTGGTGTGTGTGCAGATGAGAACGAAAAGTAAATACCTGAAATAAAAGTCACCTCTATGGGAAAAGGGCGCAGAGGGAAGGTCGACAACCATTTGTGGAGCTAAACACTCTCTGGGGCGCGGCGGGAGGCGGAAACAAGAACACACTGATGTCTCTCTAAATGTTTTATGTACGGTATAATTATTATGCATCGCCAAGACAACGACGCGCCTCCAGGCCGCCTCCAGATGTCTCTCTAAATGTTTTATGTACGGTATAATTATTATGCATCCCACCCCAACGCATAATACACACTCTCAAAGGGGGGCTATGGTAAAATTATATTCGACGCTTACCGGTCGCTAGGCGCTACCGGGGCTCACCGGGGCCGCCCTATTAGGGCCTTTAGCCGAGGGGTCTCGAAGTCCGGGACCCGCCCCGCCCCCGCCCCGCCC